AGCTTGCGGGCAGCCAAGCTGTAAAAGGAGAGCTTACTGAAGGCCCTCTGAACAACTACATGGCCCAGATGAAAGGAAAGAAAACAACTGACGTCATGTAAGAGAATAACTGTCGCACAAGCACCGCGGTACTGGCGTTTGATTGGATAATGCGTTCGAAATGCACACTCATCCACTATATAGGGCACTGTGTAGTGAATGTTCTACACTGAAAACAATATAGGGAGTGAGTGAGCGAGTGGACAAGTGTGCATTTCGAACGCAGCCTTAGATTCCCCATGTAAAAATGTCTGCCCCCTGGTATTGATGCCGATTTAAAGACTTTCCGATTTAAAAATGCGTCGCACTGGATCATTACCAAATTAAAATTTATAAAACTATGCGTTTTAGACACTTCAAGAATTCTACTTTCCGCTGAAATATACTTTGCCGAGGTGCTGTCTCCTCCTTTAATGTATTGGGGCTAGAGTACAGGAGTATGAAATCTTGATAGTTTTATTGATATACAAAATATTCGCAGTAGTAATGATTACCTAAGAATTGAAGACCTGTGTGCAAGAAGTACTTAAGTAACATTTTGCAAAAAATGAGCTGACACCAGTATTAAAAGCCACAGTGGCCAGAGCATCATCTGATACCAAAGATTTCTGCAAAGAAGCGCTCAAGTCTTGTGTATTGGTGCGTTTCCATTGTCCATTGTCATGATCTGCAATGTGTTTTGAAAACTTTGACCCCCAAAATCTCAAAAGTATTATTTTGTGACTTAGGTACTTCTTGCACACAGGTCTTCAATTTTTCATGCTTATTAAAATGAAATATCGGCTTATTGGGATAAACGAGGCCGGTCGGTCAAGAGAGCTCCTCTGAGGATGAGTAAAATGTCCATGTCATAACTTAATTTCAGAAATCCTTGAAAACTATTGCAATATTAACACATGACACATTTAGCAACCGGAATATGCTGTGAACCAGTTTTGTGTCTCAATTTATGTAGTATAACAATAGAACCACACTGCAAATCCGGTGAAACCGGCGACTTTAGGCTTACCTTCAGCCGCGTGACCAAGTCATGAAAATTCTTTCCAAAAGTAGCATAGATTAACCTAGTTCCACACGCCAACAGTGACATTAGCTAATGGGATACAGTTTTAAATATGCAGTTTGTCTAATAGAGCCGTGCTTGGGAAGTAGAGATTTTCACTGTTGGTCCTTCCATATTTGGGTTGCGTGCGGTTTCGTAGCAGCGCAATGAGTAGCCAATTATCTACGGCGCATTGTCTTACGTAGCACATAATTGAACTTCATCGATGGATGATCTGGGGCACTGCCGTGATGTGGTAATATCATATAAAGGCGACAGGCATGTTACTGATTACACACGGGGTTGCTAGGGCATGCACAGCATATACACTCGTGATACTAAAGGGATATTTCAACATTTTGGCAAATTGGCCTATTGCCATAATCCCTATAGTCAAATGAGTAGGTACATTACCTTAGTTATCCGTGTCTGTTTTGAGATTCGGGGGATGGAGACGCAAGCTGCTCAGCGAACATAATGAAAGTGAACGGTACAGGTCCCTCGCTCCTTCAAAACTCATCAAATACACAATCCAACAGCTCCAAAACGCTCTCGTGCACAAGTTGCGCCCAGCACATTCACCACGCTATAAAATAATAATGTATAATTACGAGACAGAGTTATTTTCGAGGCAAATGCATAACCGGAACTACATTCCAGACATACCTGCTGGGCGGAGTGATTTCAAAAGCATATGTTTACTGCAGCTACTCCGGAACTCAAAACAATACTTTGTTCCGAATAAGAAAGTAGTTCCGAGTATTTGCTTCATGTGTCGTAATGTTACATAATTATACATTATTATTTCATTGCGTGGAAACAACAACAGGCAACACGCACGGATAACTAAAGGTAATGTACCTACTCATATGACTACAGGGATTATGGCAATAGGCCAATTTGCCAAAATGTTGAAATGTCCCTTTAAATATTAATATTAAATTCTAACCCCCTTCTCATTGATAAAACCCCCAATATATATTGGCACCACCTTTTAAAATCATACTAGCAAATAAAAAGCCAAGAAAGTGGAGGTTGGATATGGAATTCTTCCAGCTGAACCATGTCAGCAAACCAGTGCTGCGGCTAACGTCATCACGGTTTGCTGAAAGAACCTGCTATTTTATGGTTTTGGCTGGAAACCAAATTCTTGGATTCAAAAACTATTTATTTTTGGTCGAAATGCACGGAACGGTTCAAACTTAGGTTCGGGAACAGCACCGTAGCGCAAACACGTGGGGTCCCCCGCAGCTTACCCTAGGTGGGCCCCATTGCTGCAGCAGGGAGCGGGTGAATTTTAAAATTTTAATGTTTTAGAAGCACAAAAGGACCACTTTTCAACACTGGACAAAGATTGCAGAGTTAACCGTTTTATGCAGCTTAAATTTTACATGGTTGGGGCGTTTAAAGACAACACACAATTAAATGTCATAACCCTTGTCAATGCGCTGATCCTGCGACATCCATAATTGCGAGAGTTGTCTAAGGTAGCCGGACGACTCCTCATTACTACCCTTTATCACAGAGTGCCGGATTTCATTGTCAAAGTTATTGTAAAAAGCCCACTGTTACACAACTGCACCATATAGACAGACAGAACACGTTTTTCCTTGAGGCACAATTATTAGTATAATTATTACTATTATTTTCTCATACGGACCAACAAAACTTCATCTTCTGAAATGGCATTCTTAAGGGCTTGCAGGCATGTATACAAGCGCGTATCTTTGAGAAAAATCCCTCACCTCTCTCTTCAAGTCCAGACTGCGTGCTTGTTTATTTTTGATACTGAGGATGGCCAGCCCAGGGAATTTCTGCCGTGCCATTGTGCTTCTCAGATATGTGTTGATTAGTTTTCATTTTGAGCAGGATCTTTCTGCATTTGCTACTGTCACAGATAGAGTAAGTAATAGTTTAATAGCCGTGGCTACATCTTGCACAATTGGCAATGTGGAGTGGTGCTTTATGAATAGCGTGCGCACCAGATCTTGAATTAAGCCATGCTTCCCACTAAACTTCGCTCCACAACACTTTGAAGTCAATACATTTTCACCAGAACTAAACAAAAAAAATCCACAACCTGTAACCAACCCAGAGACGAACCAAATGAATTTTCAATTGTGTGTTGCTGGTTCTTTGAAAAAGGTAGACGTCTGACAAACTTACAGTTACAGCTTGACCGTTTTCTTAAGTAGGCCTGTTTATGACGAGCTCTAATGTGTGTCTAAATCAGAGTACTTGTTTTGGAAAATCCGCTGGTAAGTCATCTTCGCAGTTATTGACAAAGTGTGCCGAAGACAAAGTATTTACACCGCAACAGTAAACATATATTTGGCACGTGGCTGAAAAACGATGTTCCTCATTGGCACACTGGCCAGATACTGGTTATTCAGTTCTGTCTTTAATTATATTGCTATGTGTGGGATTGCACAGTAAGTTACTCTACTCATAAGATAATATAGCCATCTAGCTAGCTAGCTAATGCTAACTGCAAACAATCTTTGTAAGCGATATGATTTGGTTTTGCCCTAACTTTGCTTACTTAGCTAGCTGTAATAGGCATGAACTTCTTTGATTTTATTTTGCGGCGCTTTCCTATGTCCAAACTGTAGTTTTAGATTTTTTGGACGTTTTAGCTAATTTGTGAGCTGGCTAGCTCAAGACTATCACTGTGACAGCAAGCTAGCTTCTGAAGTTAGGGCAAAAACCGAATGACATCGCTTAAATATGACGATTATTCACAAAGATTTTCCTTAAACAACGTTAGCTAGCTGGCGTGATGGCAATATAATCAGAAGAGTAATGTAATATGCGACTGCATTCACAACGTTGTTGCAAACTATGCGCAGTTCGGACTGTCTGCTTGCTCCTCAGTTAACGTTGAAGGAGAACATGAGGGTGTGATTGCGTTGAAAGTGACCTATCAGAGTCATCAAAATAGTTTAGGAATTGCAGGAGCAATGTAATTGGCTGGTATGATAAAGAGGAACATCGTCTGTGCTGAACTAGGTTGCAAATAAAAATTTTGCTGACGGGACCCATTGGACCGGTTCTGATGGCGGGGCCCCCCACCTCGCAGGGGCTGCAGGGGTATACTTTACGGCCCAGTTCGGGAACGAGCTCCGTGCCAGTTCTGTGTCAGTGGAAATGCACTAAGAGAGACGGTGAATATGGGCAACTATAACATCAGAGAGAGGGCAGACTTTGGCTAACGTAATCTCAGCGAGTGCTTATATTTGGGAAAATATATCCTGAGAGGAGGCAAATTTGGGAAAGCATAGCTTTAGAAAGCAGGCAGATCTGGAATTGTGCATCCTCAAAAACAAGGCAGATTTGGGCTAGTGTAGCTTCAGGGAGGACAGATTTAGATTGGCATAATCTTGCAGAGAGCTAAGAGTGCGGTACTGTACCCTGGTAGAGGGCAGATTTGTGCAAGCACAGCTTCAGAGTGCAGATGTGAGCTAGCGTAATCTTAGAGAGAGCTTTGATTGGGCAAGTGTATCCTCAGAGAGGGCAGAGATTTCAGCCAGTATAGCTTCAGCGAGAGTGCAGATTTGAGCAGGTGTTTCCTAACAGTGAAGCCAGGGACAGCGCTTACATCTGGCACTGGACAGGGTTGGCATTAGGTTGCTTGTTCTTCTGCCAGCGCATCCGGGAGTATTCGGTGATCAGAGACTCCTCCGGCACTTCCTGCATCCCCATAGCCCGTGCAAACCTGGAGGCCCCATCGGCCGTCAGGCACAGGTGTTTGGTCTGCCGGCACAGAATCAGGACAAAAGCACCACAGGCCATTTCATATTTCAGGGTGGATTTTCTGTTTCTACGGAGTCTAGTCTATAGGTGTTATGCCTTAATGCATTACAGATGCATGGACAGATTAACAGGTACATAGACTGATCCTTCACTGGCACTGGCAGCAGTGGAGGTGGTGCAGTGGTTAGCACTGCTGCTTCACAGCAAGTAGGTCATGGGTTCAAAGCCAGCCTTTTGCCTTTCAGTGTGGAGTTTGCATGTTCACCCTGTGCTCGCGTGGATCTCCCCAGGGTATTCCAGTTTCCTCCCACAATCGAAAGACATGTATGCTAGGCTAAAGGGAGACTCTACATTGCCTCTTGGTAGGAATGAACTGGATGTTGACCTGATATTGCTGAAAATGTCATTAAACAATAGAGAATCAATCGATTGCATCAGTGAGGTAGCCTACTTCACCTTCTCCATCACCAGCCGGGCGAGCTGTACAGGGTTAGCAATCCTCTTGACCGCTGAAACGGCTCCGCTGTCTAGCGTCCTTCCATCCATCACCAGAGCATCCATTTCCACGTTCCCATCTTCGGTCAGCACGGAGCCACGCCCTAATACGCAAGACAGTTATGGCCTGGCACACGAGACGCAGTATGACAAGCAAAGGTAATATGCTTTCAGTACCTGCGTTGTAAACGGGGTTGTTCTCCAGCAGAGTCACGGTCTCCACTACAGCATCCATGGCACTCCCTCCATTCTGCAGAACAGCGTAACCAGCCCGCACTGCCACTCGAAGCCCGGCGCGAGAGCTTTCCGCTCGATCATTTGGCACAAAACCCGCTCCCCCATGAGCCACCAACACAGGTAACATGGCCGCCGTCAGTTTTGGTCTTCAGTAGGAGAGAGAAAGCCTTTTAAATCTTGAGAATGGACTGAATAACAAACAGCCATTATTAACTGTGCAGTTATGCAAAAAATTATGCACTCTTGCTCCCTGACAGTGCAGTCAAGCCATCTGCTCTCAGAAAAGCAAAATATAACTATCTGCTGGTCAAATTTGCCTGCGTGGACCTACTCTGTGCAATAATACTCCAAGACGGACGGAGCTGGAAGAAACAGAAAAGGCTGGTTTCTTTGGCCGAAATGGCAAAGGAACAAGGTTGTTGGAAAAAAAATGAATATATTCAACTGTACAATGGCAAAAGAAAAATGTTACAGCAACTTTTGCAAATTGCACGAAACATAATGTAATTTTATATTTAGGCTTATTCTAACTGCAAAACCAACCAAGGATAAAATATCTAACGCAATAATTTTGAGAACTGAGGAAATCACCAATCAATGTTATCATTCACTGGATATGGGATATATGAACAATACTATGTTTGAGTGTACTCAGTTGCATTTGCAGAGAATCGGTCAACAGTTCCTGTGAATTAGTGATGAAAAAGGTCCAGACAGCATGCAAATTTTAGAACAGAAAGACCTTAAAGGGGACCTATTATGTTGTGTCTTATATACAGTTGTGCGCCAAAGTTCGCTTACCCTGACTGAATTTGTAAAATTTGAAACATTTTCCAAAAAAAAAAAACATGAATGGCCAGGCAAGACATTTCTTTTAAGTCTTATTGGATTCATATCCAACTGGAGCTCATGTAGAATGGTACAAACATCAAAGAAAACATGGCAGTAAGAGAAAAAATGAAACAAACCCTGTTAAAAAGTGTGCGTACACTTAGGGTGTATTCACACACGTGGCTCGCTTGCTTTGTTCCGATTCAGGGGCAAAAATGATAAAATTGTTGCATTTGTCCGTTGGCTGGTTTGTGTTCACACGGCTACAGTCTCTACCGGTCCAAAGTTGAAAACAAATGCCATGCGCGAACAAACTGTTCTCTCACTGGTCAGAAAGCTGCAGGGTGAAGTTGCCTTCAGACGTCGACTTCCAGGCTGCTCAGCCTGTCAGGCTGCGTAAACACCGCCCCCAAGTACAGCCAATCAGATTGCGAGCTAGAGTATAACCAATCCGCTCACGAGGCAGCCAATTCAATTCGAAGCCTTTACTCGAAGTGGGCTTAAGAACAACAATATTATTAAAAAAAAAAATGCGTTCAATCCTCTTTTCTCATTAAAGAAACTGATTAGTGAGGTAATGTTAGATATTTCAGCTATTTTGATTATGTTAACCAATGCAAACAAGTGCTTTTTTTTTGTCTTACAGTTAACTTATACACTGAACCTTAGCTAAACAGGTCATACTTGTTCACTGAAACACTTCTACAATATAACTGCAAGTATAACTCTGTTTGAAACATAAAAATGGCCTACTTGTGAGATATTTTGTACAATAAGCTGTTTAGCTGAGCTTCTTAAAAACTTCAACTGCCAGTTGCTGTAACGTTAGCTGCCTTCAAGGCTGATTGTAGAGACTAGTGCTTCGCAAGCTGGTTAGAAGGCCAATGTTGATTTGATATTGTATAATCTTTAATAGTATTCAGTCAGATGCCTTCAAGGCTGATTGTAGAGCACTAGTGCCTTCCAGGCTGATTGTAGAGACTAGTGCCTTGCAGGCTGGTTAGAAGGCTAATGTTGATTTCATATTGCATAATCTTTAATAGTATTCAGTCAGATGCCTTCAAGGCTGATTGTAGAGACTAGTGCCTTGCAGCCTGGTTAGAAGGCTAATGTTGATTTCATATTGCATAATCTTTGATAGTATTCAGTCAGATGCCTTCAAGGCTGATTGTAGAGCACTAGTGCCTTCCAGGCTGATTGTAGAGACTAGTGCCTTGCAGGCTGGTTAGAAGGCTAATGTTGATTTCATATTGTATAATTTTTGATAGCATTCAGTCAGATGCCTTCAAGGCATCAGGGCCTGGGGTGGGTGTTAGGGCGGGTGCTGCTGCAGGAACATCAAGGCCCCGGGTGGGTGCTGGGGCGGGCGCTTTTTTTAGCGGGGCAGGGAGATAGGGCTCCACGACGGCGCCGAAACATCGTTTGAACTCCTAAAAAGAGTGTAAAAAGTAAAGACGATGTCAATATGCAACAACACCGCTGTCATTTTCTGAGGTAACGTGGTTGATTTTGAACTGTAGTAAATCTATGGGCTGAAAAATAGAAGATTTTAAATTAGCCTTGGAAGGCTCCAACTCAGTAGAGGCCCCCCTCAGTAATGCTGTGGGAGACTCTACTGTCAGCCTTGAAGGCATCAGAATTGTAAACACACACACACACATATACAGTTGTATGCAAAAGTTTGGCCACCCCTGATCAAAATTTCTGTTACTGAGAATAGTTAAGCAAGTAGAAGATGAACTGATTTTTGAATGGCATAAATTTAAAGATACAACACTTTTTTTTGGACATTTTAAGCAGTATTGGTGTATTACTTTTGTTTTGTACAATTCTAGAGCAAAAAAAAAAAAAAAAAAAAGAAATGAGCACCGTGCAAAAGTCTGGGCACCCCAAAAAGATTTGAGCTCTCAGGTAGCTTTGACTATAGTCTCAGATCGTATTTAGCTTGTTAGGGCTATGGCTTGTTCACAATCATCGTTAGGAAAGGCCAGGTGATGCAAATTTTGAAGTTTAAAAATACCCAGACTTCTCTATCCTTGGCCCAACAATCAGAAGCCATAGGGTCCTCTATGCAGCTTTCTAGCTCTCTGAAAATGAAAATAATTAATGCCCACAAAGCAGGAGAAGGCTATAAGAAGATAGCAAATGTTTTTAGGTTATGCGATTTCCTCAGTTCATAATATAATTAAGAAATGGCAGTCAACAGAATCCGTGGAGGTCAGCTTGAGGTCTGGAAGACCAAGAAAACTGCTCATTGGATTACTAGAAAAGTAAATCAAAACACCCGCTTTGACAACAAAAAGACCTTTTGGCAGGATTTAGCACACCATGGTGTCATGGTGCACTGCCCTACGGTTCAGCGACACTTGCTCAAATATGACCTTCATGGAAGAGTCATGAGAAGGAAACCTTTCCTGCATCCTCACCATGAAATTCAGCATCAGAAGGTTGCTAAGGAACATCTGAACAAGACTGATGCATTTCGGAAACAAGTCCTAGATGTCTTTGGCTGCAATGAGCAGAGGTATGTTTGGAGAAAAAGGATGCAGAATTTCATAAAAAGAACACCTCTGTAACTGTCAAGCACATGGTTGGATCAATCCTGCTTTGGGCTTGTGTTGCAGCCAGTGGCACAGGAAACATCTCACTGGTCGAAGGAAGAATGGATTCAATTAAATTTCAGAAAATTCTGGAAGCAAACATCTCACCATCTGTCAAAAAGCTGAAGATGAAAAGAGGATGGCTTCCACAACAGGATAATGATCCTAAACACACCTCAAAATCCACAACTGACTACCTCAAGAGGTGCGAGTTGAAGGTTTCACCGCAGCCCTCAAGGCATCCTACCTCAACAGCATTGAAAATCTGTGTGAATGGACCTCAAAAGAGCAGTCCATGCAAGTCAGCCAAAGAATCTCATAGAACTAGAAGCCTTTGAAAAAGAATAATGGGCAAAATCCCCCAAACCAAAATTCAAAAACTCTTAGCTGGCTCCAAAAAGTGTTTACAAGCTGTGATACTTGCCAAAGGGAGTGTTACTTAGTACTGACCATGCAGGGTGCCCAAACTTTTGCTTTGGACCATTTTCCTTTTTTTTTGCCATTTTGAAACAGTAAAAGGATGGAAATTAAAAAGTAATCTTGCTTAAAATATAAAGGAAATGTGTCCTCTTTAACTTTATGCCTTTTGGAGAGCAGTCATTTTTTACTGGCTTAGCTATTCACAGTAACAGAAATTTTGATCTGAGGTGCCCAAACTTTTGCATACAACTGTGTATATACATTAGCCTACCAACCAGCCTGCAAGGCACTAGTCTCTACGGTCAGCCTGGAAGGCATCTGAGGTCATACTATTGAAGATTATACAATATGAAATCAACATTAGCCTTCTAACCAGCCTGTAAGGCACTAGTGTTTCTACAATCAGCCTTGAAGGCATCCGAGGAAATACTATTAAAGATTATACAATATGAAGTCAACATTAGCCTTCTAACCAGCCTGGAAGACACTAGTGCTCTACAATCAGCCTTGAAGGCATCCGAGGCAATACTATTAAAGATTATACAATACGAAATCAACTAACCAGCCCGCAAGGCACTAGTCTCTACGGTCAGCCTGTAAGGCACTAGTCTCTACAATCAGCCTTGAAGGCATCTGACTGAATGCTATTAAAGATT